ACTGGGCTCTCCACTACTTGGCTCAGTTCGGACGTTTGGATCTCATGAAGCAAGTAGTTCTACTTCACCCCCCTCCAGCTCAAGATCAGTCGTTGTGTCTGCATGCATGGTAGAGTGCGATCACATATGCATTTACATGTAGCAATGGGTGAGCGGAGATGCTGCAGTGGCTTTTGGATCACCCGCTCAGGCAAGAACTTCAAGCTACTTTGAAACTACATAGGAAATATTCTTATCTTGTGCGGTTGGCAGATCAGGCCGAAATCATGCTGTATCTCTACGAACTAGGGGCTGCTGAGGAGATGGAAGATGAGGGCGTTGTCAGGGAGTATGCCAGAGAAATGAGGTTAGCAATTCGTGATGATCGCTACAAAGTCGTAAAATGGTTGGTCGAGAACATTTCGCTCCCTGAGAGTGGATACCCAGGCAAGACGGTCATTCCAATGACGATCAGATGCGGGCGTTTCAACATTTTGAAGCTTATACACAAGCTGGGCTCGTCGAACGTCATTGCTCTGACACAAAACGAAATCAACCGAAATGCTCAGGTCACTTTGTGGTGGTTTCAATGTGAAAATCTTATGGGTATAGCTGGTGGTAGTGGGCGAGTGGATATATTCCAGTGCTTTCTTGAGAAATACCCTCAAGATGCATCGAAAGATGCTATGGACACAGCAGCATGGTGTGTCCACTTGGAATTGATTTAGTGGCTCCACGCCAACAGATCTGAAGGGTGCACTACCAATTTGATGGATAACACTGCATTCAGAGGCCACTTTGAAATAGTAAAGTGGCTGAATGCCAATAGATCTGAAGGTTGCACTAACGCTGCCGTGGATGGAGCTGCAGGGAACGGCCATCTTAAGATATGACGGGCCATCGTCACACACTGTCACCGCGGCGAGGTCTGGAGGGATGCGTGATGAAGCTCTGTTAGAATGTGAGTGTGTGAAGAAATTAACTGTATAGGTTTTAGTGCTAAAATGAACTTAAACTTGTGGTGATTGACAGCGCTGTAGTATGTACCTTTCCTAAGGATGTCTAGGCGAAGTGAGTCAAATGCTTTTGTAGTTAAAATATTAATTGCTCATTTAATGTTTACGGCTCAGCCATTTCGAGAAAGCATATATACTCTTAATTCCACGTTCATCTTCGGCACAAGCGATGGCGGATTCGACCAACAGCCAACCACTTATCAAATGACGTACGTGTTTGATGATGTACAGCCTCCTCGAATAATACTTTGACGCTTTGACGGACGATCTCCACTTTCTGCCAAATGCTTTTTCTAGATGCTCGATAGACGGGTTGTTTGCCAAGCCGTGATGCCACTCATCCCAGAGATCACGTACCGTAGAAACCGCACAACTCATTGAGAACGTTGGTGCATCACGAGTCGGTGCTGATGCATCACTGTGCTCTACGGTATTGGAATTTGACCTTGTAATGTGTGTATTGGCGTGTTGGGTTACAGGTCTGTGATTTAAGTTTGGTCGGGAACTAACCGAAACGACATTTCGTCTTTAAGAAACGCGGTAAAGTCATTTTCAGACTTTTGAGCCAGCTCTGTCACGGCTATATGACTTGACTCTAATCTATTCATGATTGCTAAATGCTGCGTTTTTATTTGTTCAGCTAGCAGGGGCATTGGACCTGAACATGCATTTCAATTGGGTGCTCCGCGGTCTGAGCAGATGAGAGTGCTTGAGATCGATACCGCTGGAGCTGCCCCTCAAAACGTTCATTCTACCGGATACGAGAAGGGAGCTGATCAAAAGGAAATGCGGCATCTTATAACAGCACAGTGCGTAAGTATTCTAAAAGCTTGAGAAATCCACGTGCCGCCAGGCTTCGCTCCCATGTCCCATTTAATATGTTTGCTTTGTGAGTTTCTACATCTGGGAAAACTCTAGTTTTCAATTCATCTGGTGGCTCCACGACTGCGCGCTCGAGAAAATACAGTCGCGAGCGTGGAGGATGACCCGATAGTGCTCGAATAGCTTCACGCGCGAGAGGTGCTGAGTACACCGCCTCGACGGTGTCCATACCCCATTTTCCGTGCCCGTGTGTCTGCAAAATATCCACATCCGCACTTTTGAGTTGACGAACGTCCTGCTGCCTGTTGATGGGTTTTTATTGAAGTTCAATTCAAGCGTTTTAAATACAGACTCATAACATCTTTTGTGTGTGTCGTACGAGATGGATTTGATGGTGGTTCGACCACGTAAGTAGTTTATGTCATACCATATCTTTGATTGACGGAAGCTCGGCTCAAATTCACATGAGACCTCTAAGAAATGCCTCTGAAACAACAAGACATAAGTGAACTTCTTTGTTGCAAATGAAACCAACATGCTGGAGCTTTCCATGCGCGTTCGTTATGCCATGCTGAATCAACAAGACGAGGGCTGAAACCCTTCCCCATTAAGCGGCTGTAAAAACACGTCTGCAAGCTCAAGATCACGAACGTTTTCTCCACGAAGCAATCCATAATGAGAAAGTGAAAATGCTGCTCGTCCTCGAAGGTCGTCAAGCTGAAAAAAAAGTAGCACACATATATCTAAATTGGTGCTCCAATTGAAAACCGTCCAGTAGAGAGCTGATCCCGCGGACTTGATAGCTCAGTTTTTTGGTTCGGTGGCGATTGCTTGACTATTCTTAATGAGCTGCTTGACTTGAGTCGAGCGTGGATGTTCGTTGGAGTTTACACGAGGTGCAACCTGTTGATTGTAGAGATCCACGACGGCGTTCACATACCTACATACCGTTGATCCGCCAACTACTTTCCCTTTCTTTTTCTTGGATTCTCTTCCTACAGCTTCCTCCGAAAGAAAGAGGTGAAGCTTGCCCTTGGTTATAGTGCCTCCGTCACAAAACCTCTTACTACTACACCACTCGATAAATCCCTTCTGATATCCGTCGTATTTGCGTTTAGTGTTAATAGGACGAGTTGCTAAAGTCGATAGAAGAGTAGCTCGCTCACTTGCTTCAATCTCCATATGCACTGTTCTTTCACTTGAGTACTGTGCGTGCGCAGCATGCGATCTGACTGGACCCCAGACGAAAAGGCAGCTAGTTCACACTGACTCTGGGTTGCTGTGGTATTTGGCTGCGTTTGTTTTCGTGGCTGCTGCTGCCGCGTAAGAGCCGATAGACACCGCGGATTTCCTTGCCATCGTGGCGTGCATCTGTTTACCAAGCTAAAAGTAGACTGGTAGACTGCCGTAATTGTTTGGTAACATAAAACAAATAATTCGATTAGGTCCGAAATTGAAACTAGAGAGCTGTAGTTTTTGGAGCTGTCCGAGGCTATGGAATTAATCGAGGTACGAAGCGTCCCTCTAAAAATAGGGTCCTTGGAGCTAGAGCGACCCTCATAGCTCCACTGGAGTTAAGTATTGGAGCATCTCAAAATACCCACGCACAAATCTATTATTGGCTAATCCAGATTTTTGCTTAGATTTTCCTTACTCCAACTCCAAAAACTACAGTCCTCTACTGACTCGGGTCAGGAACCATATAATGGGCACTCCTGATTCTCATTAAGTATGTATATTCCTTACTAATTGACACGATTGCGACTTTTTCAATTGAGGCCCCGATGCAAGGTCGTCCCTTAATAGTAACCACTCTCTCAGTCCAACCAGCGCTTGAAGACCTTGGAGGCACCACCAACTCCGCGATGGACACCAAATATTTTATCCTGCGGTCGAATGGGGCTGCTTTTGCAGCCGGATAGCTAGTTGCCCGCTGTGCGTTAAAATACCACCCTCGACCAAACTTTCGACTGGTATACAGGCTCTTTACCACAGGACCATCGACACATCCGCCCGTGGTTGGGATAAAGCTTTACTTTTTTACAAACGTTTTAAACATAAATTACGCACCTTTTCTGATATTACAGAACGTACAGTTGTACAGCTCAGTATTGCGTTTGAAATACGGGCGCGGAACAGCTCTGGATTTTGTCGGCAAAAACTAAGAAAACAAATTTTGTAATAAAAAAAATTATCACACATTTTGTTTTCTTAATTATGTAACAAATTTTGTAACAAATTTGTTTTCTTAGTTTTTGCCGACAAAATCCAGAGCTATTCTGAAAGGAAATGTTGTAACAATTTTGTTTTCTTAGTTATTGCTGAAAAAATCCAGAGCTGTTCCGCCGTATTTTCAACGCATTTAATGCGCTCTTTATTCATTACAGTTCAGATGAACCCTTCGGTAGTCATAGCGTCGGAATCCAGCAGTTTACTCATATATAATCTTTGAGCCAGGTGTATCTTCGAAATGGTACACTTACAGAAGCCAACTGAACAAACGCACGCTACCATTGCGTCCTCCCGGAGTCTCTCGAAGTCATCTCGCGCCATCAGCGCTTGCAAATTTGCCTGCATCATGCTGCCCCCAACATATGACAACAACATATAGTCGAGTGGGCCCATTCAATGCTGTCGTTGCAACAGCGACCATCTCAAGGAACAGTATGTAAGCTAATGAAACGTAAGAAGGCACTGGAGGCACTACCTACTTCTCAGCTAACCGTTAAGTCACATCATGAAGTGCGGTTTCCACCGCATTGCAAATTTGCTAATTCAAGCAGATTCGACGGGCGTGTCGGATAGAAGTGTACAGGGGCTTAGAGCGATGCAGAAAGAGCTGCGAGACGCGCTAAGCAGGAAGGAAGGGTGCAAGCAGCAAGTGTCCTTGCTAGCCTACTTTAAACGTACTGAACAATAGTGTCGTTTTGTGTGTATTCCATGTTTCGAGGGAGGGATTTGAGGTATTTTATCATGGAGCAGATACTTTAATCTTGTTGGAGGGTATTCTATGAGCAGGGATTACGGCTGAAGGGTTCATCTGTGCAATAATGTTCCTGCCATCGCGGTTTCGTAAATGCTTTTACGAAAGGGTCAAGAAAAGTAAAAACAATTAAAAATGTCATCGTTAGGAAATCAAAATTCATTCCTGAAGAGACGCTTGGGTCTCCAGCAGCGTCTTGGATGGCGTTCCAGGCGCGGCACCGCTGGATGATCCAGCGTCTTCAGCTCGGCCTGGGCTTCGAGGACGAGTCTCAAGTGGAAGAGCTTCTCCGTGGCAACGGCATCATGGAGCAGCTCTCGCGCTTCTTTCGAGCTGATGGCCCCACCAAAATATTCTTCTACTACCAGACAAAAGGCGCCATCGAAAGTGACAGCGTCACCCACTCGTCATCTACGGCAGAACTACAACGTAGAGAGCTTTTCGTGACTGACGGATTGGACGAGACGCTGCAAGGACGCGCTGTCTTCTTTGCCAAAGTGGCGCCCGAAGCTTCAGATGATAAAGAGACGAATCGGGACGATAACCCCGAGACTTTGGACGATAATTCACTATACGACTCGACGCCACGTCTGCCGCTTGATCCAGCAGTGGCCAACGACCATTTACTCACTTATGGGGTGCTAGATTCGTCGGTATTACTCTCAATTGAGACTCACCTGGCACAGTTATTTGTACCCATGTTGACCTCCAGAGAGGAGAGTGAATGGGGCCAAGCCGAGAGTGACACTCGCAATGACTTCATGCTGGGTCTTAAGAGCTTTGTGACCGATGTGCAGGAGAATCTCAAGGCCATGAACACAGGACTGGACCTACGTAAACCAGACAAGAGATACGACACGTCGGACTCTAGAAGTTTATCGAAATTGTCGTCCGATGACGGGGCTGTGCAGCACTTCGTGGAGCTGGTCAAAGACTGGTGTAAACAGACAGAAGCCTATCTGGAAGATAATGATCAAGGACGGTGGGAATCGCACGAAGCAGGTCCTGCGACGGAGCTGGAGTACTGGAAAAGAAGACTGCAGAGACTCATGGGCATCACGGAGCAGCTGAAGACCAAAGAGTGTAAGATGGTCACTGGAGTGCTCAATGTTGTGTCGAAATTGCAGGATGGAGCGACTGATAAGCTTGGAATTGCGCAATTATTGCGACAGTGGAAGCAGATTGACACAAATATCACGGAAGCGTCGAACGAAGCCAAAGACAACGTCAAGTATCTCGCCACGCTCGAGCGATTCATCGAGCCATTGTACACTGGCACTCCGACGTCCGTGGTAGACGCACTCCCTGCTCTTATGAACTCTGTCAAGATGATCCACACTATTGCTCGTTACTACAACACAACGGAGCGCATGACGAAGCTCTTCATGAAAATCACGAACCAGATGATCGCGCTGTGTAAGAACAGCTTGGTCGGTCGTGAGCCTCCCGAGGCCATTTGGGACAAAGACCCGGAAGTGCTTCTTGTTGGGCTGGAGGCCTGTTTAAAACTCAACGAAGCGTACCAGGAGCAGTATCGCCTCACGAAAGATAAGCTGCTGACGATGCCCAAAGGGAAGCAATTCGACTTCAGCGAGACGCAGATTTTCGGCAAATTTGACCTTTTCTGTCGACGTCTCGTGAAGCTCATCGACATGTTCAGTACCATTCACCAGTTCCGCGCTCTGGCTCAGCATTCACTGGAAGGAATGGATGCATTGCTGGCGTCCTTCAACACGATTATCCGAGAATTTCGCGCTCACAAACACAATCTGCTGGATTTTCACAATAACAAATTCGACCGTGATTACGTGGAATTCAACATTCAAATTGCCGATCTCGAGGCCTCGTTGCAGCAGTTTATTAACGTGAGCTTCGACTCCATCACGAGTATCGAGCAGTCGTTGCAGCTGCTGAAGCAGTTCCAGCAGATCTTGCAGCGAGAGACGTTGCGGAGTGACTTGGACTCGAAGTTTACTGTAATTTTCCACAATTACGGACTGGATCTGTCGCACGTCCAGGAGCTGTATGAACGTCATCGACATGATCCCCCCGTGGCGCGTAATTTACCTCCCGTTGCAGGTAATATTCTCTGGTCACGGCATTTATTACGACGTATCGAGGAACCCATGCGCAAATTCGAAAGCAACCCTACGGTCCTTTCCACAAAAGATTCCAAGAAAATTATCAAAACCTACAACAAAGTGGCGCGTACGCTTGTAGCGTTCGAGTACTTGTGGTACGAAGCGTGGTGTCGCTCGGTGGAGAACGCACGCGCTGGGCTGCACGCGACTTTGATCATTCGCCATCCCGATACAGGTCGGCTTTTTGTGAATTTCGACAAAGAAATCCTGCAACTTATTCGCGAAGCGCGTTGTCTTGACCGGATGGGGATCGAAGTTCCGGAGAACGCGCGTATGGTGATGCTACAAGAAGACAAATTCAAGGCCTACTACAACGATCTGAGCTATGCGCTGCATGAATACGATCGCGTTACAGCCAAGATCATCCCAGTTACAGCCGTGCTACTGCGTCCTCACTTGGAAGACTTGCAGCACAAACTCCGACCTGGACTGGTTACGCTAACGTGGACGAGTATGAATATCGACGCGTATACAGCTGTAGCACACGCGGCGTTACAGCGTCTTGAAGAGCTCATCTCTAGCGTACTGGACGCGATTGAGAACCGAATTGAGAAGAACCTGGTGATCGTCTCCAAGGCTTCTCTCGTCCACTTACCCACAGACCAGTCCTTCGCTCTGGATGACTTTGTACGGATGCAAGAGAAACATGTGGCGAATGTCACGAAACAGTTAGCAGCGAAGAACGTGGAGATCGAAAATGCTGTCGAAGATGTGCTTCGTCTTATCTGTGAATACAATTTGGACGGCTCGACTTCTTCCTCTGGACTCAATGGCGGCATCTCGGCTCTGTCAGGATTAAATACGGTAACGTGTGATGTCGAAGCCATGGAGACATTCAGAAGCTTTTACAGGAATCTCTTCTACCGTTCATTGGTGACCTGTACGAAGCAGTCTTTGGACGCTATCAAGAAGCGCGTGTGCTCAAAAGCAGGCACAGGGTTTCTCTTCCTGGAACGGCCTTTCTTCGAGGTTGACGTCCAGTTATCAGTGCCTTCTGTTCGATTGAGTCCGTCGCTTGATGACATCCAGAAAGCTATCAACCGATCCGCTGTAGCAGTGTTGCGTTGCTCCAAGAGTCTGTATGAATGGGGCCAACAGAGCGTGTTTCCAGAATCTATGCGAACCAGTCTATTCGAGCGACTTGGATGCGATACTGAGATCATTAAAGTGGCCATTCTACTCACTGGTGCGTTGCATGGAACGAAAAACCAAGTACACGAGTACCTTTCCGCGTTCAAAAAGTACGACTGGCTCTGGAAAGAAGACATGGAGTTCCGCTATAACCAATTCATGCAGCGTAACCCACTGATCCAAGATTTTGAGACGGAGTTACGTCATTTCATGGCAGTCGAGGCGGAGATCTCGCTAATTGCGCCGGTACACAACATTGCGGTGTTGTCTCTAAACACGAAGAACCTTAAGTTACAGCTCCGAAACGAGTGTCGCCAATGGAAAGTGCAGTACTCCGATAAAGTCCACCAACAGGCCCGGACTGCGCTGTTCAATCTCACAGATTACATCCGGACAACGACTTCCAAACTCAATGCTCGCGTGGAAACTCTCGATACGCTTCGCTTCGTTATGGGAGTGCTAAAAGAAGTGCGTGAACGGGAGTCTGCTATTGAGATGGAGTTGAATCCCATTGCTGATATGTACGATATGCTCGAGCATTATCTTCCTGGAGGATACATGGATAAGGAAGAAATGGACCAGAAGAGTGTACTGCGTGGTTCGTGGAGGAAACTTGTGGATTATGCGGAAGAAGTGACGGATAATCTGTCGGAGGTGCAGGGAGGCTTTAAGAAACAGCTCATTAAGGACGTAAAAGACTTCCAAGCGGACGTTGCAGTGTTCCGAAGCGACTACGAAGCCAACGGGCCGATGGTGTCTGGTCTTGTACCTGCAGAGGCCGTGGAACGTCTTAAAAGATTCAAAGACTTGCTGGGGATTCGAGAACGGAAGCTCGAAGTGTTCTCTGCTGGCGAGGAACTATTCGGTATGAGACCGACAGAGTATCCCGAAATTGTGCGTACTCGTAAGGAGATGGCGTTACTGGATCAGCTTTACGGTCTCTATATGGACGTCGAGAAGACTATGGATGAGTTCCGAGGGATTTCGTGGGCTCAAGTGGGGGCGAACGTGGAGCGTATGAACGATTGCTTTGCTGGTTATGACCAGCGCTGTAAGAAGATGCCGAAGAACTTGTGTGAGTGGGAAGCTTACGGTATTTTACGCAAGGTCATTACAGAGTTTTTAGAGATGCTCCCTATCGTTAGAGAGTTGACGAGGGAGAGTATTAAACCTCGTCATTGGGAGGAGATCATCACAGCTTGCAACGGTCAACGACTGCCGTACGACAGCGAGTCGTTCAAGTTTCAAGACGTGCTGGACGCCAAGCTTCTCACGTGGAAAGAAGACGTCGAGTATATTTGTGAAAGCGCACAAAAGCAGCTGCAGATTGAACACAAACTTCGCGACCTCACGGATCGCTGGGCCGGCACGACGTTTGAGTTCAGCGAGTGGAGGCAACGGAGTGTCCCTGTACTTAAGGGTTACGGTCAGATTATTGAGGATCTCGAAGAAGGACAACTGCAGCTTCAAGCGATACTGAGTATGAGGCACGTGGTATTCTTCAAAGACCGCGTACAAGTCAAGCTGGCCCAGCTCTCCGATACAGCCGACGTGTTAGAATTGTGGGCGAAAGTTCAAACCCTGTGGATGTCGCTGGAATCGGTTTTCACGGGTGGAGATATCGCGAAACAAATGCCACTGGAGGCGAAGAAGTTCGCGAAAATCGATAAAGACTGGCTCAAGGTCATGAGTAAAGCTGCCGAAGTGGGCTTTGTCGTGTCCTGCTGCTCTAACGAGCTGTTGCGTAGCACACTTCCGTCTCTTTTCGGCGAGCTGGAGAAATGTCAAAAGTCGTTGGAAGGGTATCTGGAGCAAAAGCGCAAGAAGTTTCCGCGTTTTTACTTTGTTTCAAACCCGCTGTTACTGCTGATATTGTCTCGAGGGTCCGACCCAGCAGCAGTGCAGCAATACTACGAGAAAATCTTCGACAGTATCAGCCACGTCGTGCACGAAAGACCCATGTCAGCTGCAGAATCCAAAGCTTCTTCAACGACCGCCACGAATCCAATCGCTAAGCGTAAAATTGTTGAAATCAAGTCCCTTGTGGGAAACGACGAAGAAACGATTTCGTTGGTGCAGCCTGTACTGCCAGACGGGAATATTGAGGATTGGCTGGGGATGCTGGAGAAGGAGATGCGACGGACCCTCAAGACTTTATGCCGCCAAGCCGCTGCAGAGTGTTCGTCCGGTTCGCTTCGAGAATTCGTCAGTAAAACTTGTGCACAGTTTGCGCTTCTGGGGATTCAGCTAAGCTGGACGGCCGAGTGTCAGGACGCGCTGCAGCGATGTCGCACTACCAAAGGGATTATGGCGCAGACTGCGAAGAAGCATGGGACGATGTTGTCGGAGTTATCTTCGTGGTGTCTGACAGATCTGGGCACGAAACTTACGCGCACTAAAGTGGAGACGCTAATCACGATCCAAGTCCATCAACGTGATTGTTTCTTGGAGCTGTGTAAACTTTACAAGGAGAAGAAACTCTCGGATGCCAACGACTTTGAATGGCTCAAACAAGCACGTTTCTATTGGCGTGTAGGAGGCCAAGGGGCTTTTGATTCAGTAGGTCCAGACGCCTGTTTGATCTCCATTTGTGATGTGGATTTCAAGTACGCGTTCGAGTATCTGGGCTGTAAGGAACGTCTGGTGATCACGCCGTTAACTGATCGCGCTTACATCACTCTGTCTCAAGCTCTGGGAATGCACTTAGGGGGTGCTCCTGCTGGTCCTGCGGGTACTGGAAAGACCGAGACGGTGAAAGATCTTGGACGTAGTCTTGGTGTCTATGTGATCGTCACTAACTGCACAGACCAGCAGCGTTATTCAGACATGGCGAAGATCTTTAAAGGACTCTGTCAAGGTGGATTGTGGGGATGCTTTGATGAGTTCAATCGCATCGAGTTGCCAGTTCTATCAGTGGTAGCGCAGCAGGTTCTGGCGATCACAAACGCTAAGCGAGTACAAGCCCCAACGTTCACGTTCCCTGGAGACCCGCTCCCTATTGGACTGCACACAGACGCCGCGTACTTTATCACAATGAATCCTGGCTATCAAGGACGTCAGGAGCTGCCAGAAAACCTCAAGGCTCTTTTCCGAGGAGTCTCCATGATGGTCCCGGATCGGGAGATTATCATGAAAGTCAGGCTGTGTGCTGTGGGCTACGACGCGTTTGCAGAACTTGCTCGTAAGTTCAAGACGCTGTATGCTGTTTGTGAGGGTCAGCTATCGAAACAACGCCACTACGACTTCGGTCTTCGTAATATTCTATCGGTTTTACGGTCAGCGGGTGCTACCAAGCGCGATAATCTCCTTGCGAGTGAGGAATTGCTCATGATGACGACGCTAAGAGATATGAATCTCTCCAAGCTCGTGGCTGCCGATGTGCCTATCTTTTTGTCCTTACTTCGCGATATCTTCCCTGGCGTGGAGCCGGCACCTTCGTCTGGTGGTAAAAGTAACGAGATTGCTGCTGCTGTCGAGGATGTGCTACATAAATCTCAGAGTTGGCCGCCGCCAGCGACATGGAGCGCAAAAGTGACTCAACTGTACGAGACTCAACTCGTACGTCATGGAATTGCGCTCGTAGGACCCGCGGGGTCAGGGAAGTCCGAGATTCTACGTACGTTACAGACTGCGCTAAGCAATTTCACTCGTACTCCACATCGACAAGTTCGCTTGAACCCTAAAGCGGTACGTGCCGAGGAACTGTTCGGAGAGACTGATCGGTTGTCTGGAGAATGGGTCGACGGTGTCTTCGCTGCGATTTGGGCGAAATTTAACGACCGGTCTCGTAAAGATGTGTCCTGGTTGGTCTGTGATGGACCAGTGGATGCAGTCTGGATAGAGAATCTCAATACGGTATTGGACGACAATAAGCTGCTTACGTTGGCGAATGGAGATCGGTTACCGATGACGGACAACTGTAAACTGCTCTTTGAAGTCGAGGATCTGCGCAATGCTTCGCCCGCGACAGTGTCTCGAGCAGGAATCGTGTACGTCAGTGATACAGATCTCGACTGGGAGCCTGTGGCTCAACGATGGCTTCGTATGCGACCGGACTCGCAGCGTGCCGCTTTAACTCGAAGTATGCGGACACTTGTGGGCGACGTTGCAGGTTCGGGACACCTGTTTGAGTTCCTGACGCGAAGATGTCGACCTGTTATGATCGTACCCAGAGTGGCGTTGATTCAGGCGTGCTTGAACCTGTTACAGTCTCTGTTAGAGCGCAGTGAGCTTAGTGAGAACTCGCAGGCTGATTTAGAGTTAGAGCTGGAGAGATTGTTCGCATTCGCGTTAGCGTGGGCAGTTGGCGGTGTATTAGATCTGGAAGATCGCAACAAACTCCACCATTATCTAGTCGAAAAGGCTCCAGCCACAACGTTCCCGTCATCGATTGCCCCAGTTGCCACGCAAGAGGCTTCAGTTGGCCAAGACAGCCCGGTTAGAGCATCGACGGCTTCCAACTCTAACCAGACTCTAACTGTATTCGACCACTTCTTACACCCTTCAACTCTCGAGTGGGAAAAATGGACACTGGACACATGCGAGAACCTTCTGACGCAGTCAAGTGGCGCTGTAAACGTCGGACGCCTGATCATCCCCACTACAGACACCGCTCGTTCGCTGCATTTACTGGAACACCTTAACGCAAGTCATCTGCCTGTATTACTCGTCGGCGAACCAGGCACAGGCAAATCCACGCTTGTGCGTTTATTCTTCGAGAACAATTCATCAAGTGGAGAGGGGGTATCCAGGACGCTTATCTTCTCAGGGGCAACTTTAGGCGGGGCGTTCCAGGCAACAGTGGAGGCTGATCTGGAGAAGCGTGGAGGCAAGACATTTGGACCCTCGAACGGTCAACAACTCACTCTTTTCTTGGACGATCTATCCATGCCAGCGCTTAACGAATGGGGTGACCAACCTACGCTTGAAGTCGTTCGACAACTCGTGGAGACTCGCACCTTGTGCTTCCTAGACAAAGACAAACGTGGAGATATTAAGGTCATTGAAGGGTTACGGTTCCTGGCAGCGATGGGTCTACCTGGTGGTGGGAAGAACGACGCACCGGCTCGTCTTAAACGCCATTTCTTCATCTTGAATTTGCTGCCTCCATCGCCTGAAGTAGCTGAGGCAATCTTCGCACAACTCACTCGCTGGAAATTTATTCCCGAAGATAACTCGATATCTTCCGTTGGAATCCCTAAGAAATCGCTATCCGACTTGATCACTCGACTATCTGCAGCATCAGTACAGCTGTGGTTATGGCTACGTCGTGCGATGCCTCCAACGCCGCAGAAGTTCCACTATGTGTTTAGCTTACGCGAGTTGAGTCGGAGCTTCCAGGGTATTTTACGAGCTCCTACTGAAACCGCGACAACGTCTGAGAAAACCCTAATTCGACTTTGGCAACATGAGAGTGAGCGGGTATTCGGCGACAGACTCGTGTCAACTGAAGATAAACAGCGGTTCCGGGACGAACTCAACGCTGTAGCGGAAGGTTTGGTGACCAAGTCTGTGAATCAACCGCCAGTATCAAGTGCTGCAGGGAAAGACAAGGTGTCGACTCCTACGCCCGATGGAACGCAACGCCAGTCCGTTCTTTCGGCTGTAAATATGCGGCACAACGCGGTCTACGTTGACTTCTTACAGGATCAACCTGTTGACGAACTAGGTGAGCCTATAGGGGATATGCCTCGTAACTACGAACCCGTTTCCAGTTTACCGCTACTGCGATCTCGAGTGGAGCATCTCTTATCGCAGTTCAATCGCGAGAACCCGGGACGAGCTCTACCGTCTTTAATCCTGTTCGAGGAAGCTTTATTCCATCTGGCAAGGTTAACGCGCGTGCTTGGGCTCGCTCAAAGCAACATGATGCTTGTGGGTGTGGGAGGGTCCGGCAAACAGTCTTTAGCGCGTCTTGCAGCTGCGCTAAGTGGCCACGAATTGTGTCAACTAGCGGTCACGAAAGCGTACACTTTATCGGCCTTTCTGGACGATTTACGCGGACTGTGTAAGACTGCAGGACAAGTTGGAAAAGGCGTGGTGTTTCTCCTTACTGAAACTGATATCAAGGACGATTCCTTCTTAGAGCAAGTGAACGCTTTGCTAGCGACGGGAGAAGTGCCTGGTCTGTTCCCTAGAGACGAACTGGTCGTTATGGCGAGTGAACTTCGTGGATCAATGCAGCGAGAATGTCCCGATCGAGCAGATACTCTGCAGAATCTAACGCGATTCTTCCACGACCGAGTCCGACGAAACCTCCACGTTGTCTTGTGCTTATCTCCAGTCAGTGCTCGCTTTGCAGACCGATGTCGGGAATTCCCGCACCTAGTGAACGGCTGCACCATTGACTGGTTTTTACCGTGGCCAGAGGAGGCTCTCACCGCTGTAAGTCAGGGATATCTCGACAAGTTCGTACTGGAGACGCCGCCAGCTACTAAAGACGCGTTGATCCTGCAAATGGGGCGCATGCATCAAGCCGTGGAGAAAGTTAGCGACGAGTATTTCGCTCGTCGACGACGACGTGTGGTCCAAACGCCAAGAAGTTTCTTGAGTTTCCTGTCTACATACAAGGAGCTGTATGCTGAAAAGTTGAGTGAAGTTCGACATCAGGAAGGTGCAGTGAATCTTGGACTGCAGAAGTTAGGACAGGGAGCGCGAGATGTCGAGAAGATGAAAGTTGTGCTGAAAGAAGAAGAAGCCAAGCTTGTGGTAGCCGAAGCAGCCGCTAATAAGATGCTGGAGACGCTGCAAGTCAAGTCTCTTGAAGCGAAGAAGGAGAACGACATCGTGCAGCAGATTCGTGAGCAATGTCTGGCCGATGCTGCCGTTATTCTGGCCGAGAAAGAAGCGGCCGAAGAGGATCTAAAGCGTGCTCAACCTTTCTTGGACGAGGCTGAAAGAGCAGCGAGTAGCATCCGTCCGAACGACTTGAACGAGCTAAAAAAACTGGCGAAACCTGGTGATATTATCAAGCTCATCTTCGATTGTGTAGCCATTCTACAGATGGCTCCTCTGCTCAAAGTTGAGCGCGCTCCAGTGACTTTGGGCGTGGGGAAAGAGAAGCACACGTGCGATTTCGTCATGGATTCGTTCCAGCTCGCCAAGTCCGGTATGCTCGCTGATACGCGGTTTTTACAGCACATTTTCTACTTTTCGAAACACCAAAAAGACCAAATGAACGACGAAACACTGGAGTTTATGGCTCCGTACATGGAGCTATCCGGTTTCAGCGCCCCCGTGGCGAAAAACGCGTCCAAAGCAGCAGAAGGGTTATTCTGTTGGGTTAAAGCGATGAGTATGTACCACGAAGCGTCGAAAGTGGTGAAACCCAAACTGGAAGCGCTGCGCATTGCAGAGGGCAAGTTTGAAGCTGCTCAAGCTCGACTTCAGAGCTCCGAGGAGAAGTTACAGAAGTGTCAGAATGTGCTCACGCGCTTACAGGACGATTTCCAGACTCAGATGGCCGAGAAGGCGCGCGTTGAGGCGTTTGCACAAGCTACGAAGCGTAAGATGGACCAAGCCACAGCGCTTATCGGTGGCTTGGGAGGGGAAAAAGTGCGCTGGACGGGAGATTCGAACCGATTCGTGGAGAGGAAGCAACATCTGGTGGGGGATTGTGCTCTGGCTGCTGCGTTCTTGTGTTATTGTGGGCCGTTCAACCGCGAGTATCGAGATTTACTGCTGCGTGAACGTATTCCAGCAGAACTTGGAGCTATTCCAACCCCCAACAGCGCTACTAAGCCTTCGTTTACGATCCCGTTAACACGTGGGCTAGCGCTGGAAGAGTTCTTGGCTGATGCTGGGTCTGTTAGTGACTGGAAGCTGCAAGGTTTACCGTCCGACCCGCTCTCTATTCAGAACGGAATGTTAGTTGCCAGAGCGCCACGATTCCCCCTACTAATTGATCCTCAAGGACAGGCGTTATCTTGGGTTCTTCGTCGTGAGGCGGAACGTCTACCGACTATGGGAGTTGTATCAGTGAGTAGCCCCAAACTGCGTGAGATTCTCGAACATTGTGTGGGTGAAGGCAAAGCGCTGGTTCTGGACGGAGTGGATGGCGCAGATCCGGATCCTCTGATGGCGAATGTCCTCGATAAAAACTTTATTGTTCGTGCTAAAGGAAAATTTGTGAAAATTATGGACCGCGTGTGCGAGTATAACGAAGACTTCGCTCTGTACCTGACAACTCGAGTACCGAATCCGCACTTTTCTCCGGAACTTCAAGCACGAACACTTGTCGTGGACTTTACGGTGACTCAAAGAGGGCTGGAAGAGCAGCTGTTAGCGCAAGTTATCCGTCAGGAGCAACGCTCTCTCGAAGAGCAATTAGAGCGCGTTCAGTGTGAATTAAACGCGAACGCTAAAGCTCTGATAGCTTTAGATGCTCTGCTCCTAGAGCGACTGTCAGCTAGCAAAGCTAACCTTCTGGATGATGTCGAACTCGTCTCGGTATTGGCCAATACCAAGGCGAAAGCTACCGAAGTTAACGACAAGATCCTGGCAGCTGAGGAAGTGAAACGAGGGATTGACGAAAAGCGAGAGCATTATCGTCCAGTGGCTGCGCGTGGCTCGGTCCTCTACTTCGGTATCGTCGATTTCGCCGCAGTAAATGCCATGTACCAGACGTCCTTGGACCAGTTCTTACAGCTGTTCGTCCGCGCTATCGAGGAAGCAGAACGATCTTCGTTAGCGTCGAAGCGAGTGACCTACATTATTGAAACCCTAACGTACATCGTGTTCCGGTACGTGAATCGAGGCCTGTACGACCGCCATCGCCTCAGCTTCCTGCTTATGATCGCACTTAAGGTGCTCGTGGCTGCAGACTGCGTGACTCCAGCCGACGTGACGCTGTTTCTTAAAGCCGGAGCATCTCGAAAACTGTCAAGTGACCAGCCCAAGCCATTCAACTGGATGTCGACTGGCGCGTGGCTGAATGCTGTACAACTTGCGAGTGAGAAACCTCACTTTCGTAACCTTCTGGGAGATCTGGAACGCAGTGAGAATATATGGAGAAAATGGTTTGAAGACAACGAACCAGAGCGTCTGGCTGTTCCAGATTACGAAGGGCTATTGTTTGACCCGCGAGCAATTACATCAAATCTTCACTTCCATCGATTGCTATTGGTGCGTTCATTACGGGAAGATCGCACTATTCCGGCGGTGTTGGACTTCATTCGAGCTATTGAGTTCATTGAAGGTCCTGTGGGGGTTAGCTTGTCCCGAGTCCCAGCGTTAGGACCTCGTTACGTGGAGCCTATTACGGATACAGTTGAAAGCGTGTACCAGGAGATGAGAGCCGAGACGCCAGTGCTGTATCTCTTATCGCCTGGAGCGGACCCTACGGAGTCCATTGAGCAGCTTGCGCGACGTAAACGACAGAGTGTGACTACTATATCCATGGGAGAAGGACAAGAGGTTGTTGCGGCTCGGACGGTGGCGTCTGCGATGCTGAATGGGTCGTGGGTGCTGCTTCAGAATTGCCATTTAGGGTTGAATTACATGGACACTCTATGCGAGACTCTAACGACAGCAAATAGCGCTAATGCTGCTGTAAGTCCAGCTCGCGCGCCAGAGTTCCGACTGTTCTTGACGTCTGAACCGCATCCGGATTTCCCGATATCTTTGCTGCATCGAAGCACGAAGGTCACGAACGAGCCGCCTGCTGGTCTTAGAGCGGGGTTGCTGCGCAGCTTTACGGTGTTAGTGGATCAAGACAAACTGGATCGTCTGGAGACTGCGTCATGGCGTTCGCTCTTATTTGCAGTCTGTTTCTTACACGCTGTCGTGGTGGAGAGAAGGAAATTCGGTCCACTCGGCTTCAGCGTACCGTACGAATTTAACGCTGGTGATATGGGCGCGTCGCTGAGCTTTTTAGAGCGACATTTGTATACTTCCCCGTCCCCGTCGTGGCCGACAGTGCAGTATATGGTGGCTGAGGTGCATTACGGAGGTCGAATTACAGACGAACTGGATCGAAGACTGTTCCGCGCTTACTGCGACGCTTGGTTTAATCCGACGCTATTAGGGAGTTCCTTTTCCTTTAACCCCGAGGTGAAGCTATCGACAGGAGGAGCCTCGTCCTCTGGACAGTTGTTTAATTACTGTCTGCCAGACTCGTCCACCGCAGAGATAGAAGAGTATCAACGATATATCGCCGGGTTTCCGAGTGTGGACTCTCCTGAGGTGTTCGGCTTGCACCCGAATGCAGATCTAACGTATCGTGTTAAGGAAGTATCCGCATTGTTGGGAACGATCGTGGATACTCAACCTACAGACGCTGAAAGTACAACAACCAAGTCCGAAACAAGAGAAGATGTTATCCAGCAGAAGATCCGCGAATTACTGGCGGCACTTCCAACTGGAGGGGAGGAATCTCTGAGTGAAGAAGCGCTGGCACAGTCGCTACGTTCCAAGGTACTTGGTGGAGGATTGGAGCTTCCTCTTAACTTGTTCTTGTGTCAAGAAGCACGAGCACTTCGAATGGTTCTTAAAAACGTTCGAGCGTCGCTGATAAAGACACAACGTGCGTTAGCGGGTGAAGTTCTGTTAACGTCTTCATTACGGGAGACAGGTCAAGCGATTTTTGACGGCAAGGTGCCTCCGTCGTGGGTAGCGAACGAGCAAGCGTGGCTTGCTGGAACGTTAGGTCTTTGGATTACAGGGCTTATCGACAGAGTAACCCAGTTACGTGCGTGGCTTGATCGTGGTCGGCCGTCGAGCTTTTGGTTAGCGGGGTTCTCTAACCCGCAAGGGTTCCTTACGGCTGTTGCACAAGAGTCAACTCGAGCTCATGCGAGTGAGCGCTGGGCGCTGGACGATGTGGTCTATTACAGTGAAGTAACCGACTACGAGCGACTGGAACAGATCAAGCAGCCGCCACGCGAAGGTGTGCTCGTTCACGGACTGATGCTAGACGGTGCGGCCTGGAATCGACCGGATGGGACGTTGGTGGAACAAGAACCCAAACGGTTGTTTGCTTCCTTGCCGGCAGTTTATGTTACAGCTGCTACTAAAGCTCACAAAAAGACACGAGCCGCTCAGGATCACGGTCCGTACGGAGCATACGAGGCTCCGGTCTATCGCTACGCTAGACGTACAGACAAGCACTATATTTTCTCCGTCTCGTTGGCTTCCAGAGACCACCGACCGCTACATTGGACGTTGCGAGGTGTTGCTTTACTCTGCTCCACCGACCAGTAGTTCGAATATATGCGATGCTGTCGAACATTGATCTGCTAATTATTCATTATCAGACTTGTTTGTCGTACACGTGATCGTTTCATACCCATCGAAATGTTATCATCGCATGTCAACGGCCAACACTTTTTTCTTATGCACCTTATTTTAGAGTTTGATTGAAGGTAAATTTAGTTGAATCAAAATAGAAGGCCACCATTGTTGAATTTCACTACCAAAAAAACACTTGAGCTCATTCTTCGACACGGGTCCGGTGGTTGATGAGCAAAATACTAAAATGCCGCGGGGATGCAGAAGCTCAAACGACTGCATTCCTCATCCTGCGTTCTTCTACACAAGACAGAAGGAATTGGTGAACTATGGTGTATTCCGGGGGAGTATGCTCCTTCGTTCAAGCTGCGGCAATATGTGCACTCGCGTTGAATGCATTGCCGTCAGTCCAGGCTAAAAATGTCATTTCGAAGCAGTGTGTCGCCTCGGACGGTGACAAGAGCTATGGAGTCTACGCCATCAAGGATGAATCATGCGCTAAGAACGGCGGGCTCGGGTGCTTCGGCAAAGTTTGCCGCTTCTGCAAGGTGCTGGATACCCCAAAGTCGTCGCACCTGAATACATGTCTCTCGTATGGCGTAGCATTCACAAGTACGACGCCAGTGACTGTGACTCAAGGCCCCTGTGAAGTGGCAAGTGGCGACGTGGCAGCCGGAATCTCGGCGGTGAAGGACTCGGGTTGTCTCAATGGAGGACTCGGGTGCTTTAACGACCACTGCCGCTACTGCAAGGTGGAGGAGACATCCCGGTCGGCCGGATTCATTGCGTGCTCAAGTATTGACAGCTCGTACAGCGCCCCGGTTAGTATTACGAAGGCACCGGCAACGGCTGCTCCTACCGCCGCGCCGACGGCTGCTACCAATCTTCCGACCATTCCAGTTCCTACGGCATTTACCCCAGTCACTGATACTTTTACGACCGCCCCGACAGTCACCGCTTCTATCATGCCATCTCCTACAACTGAGGCACCGGTTTCGACAACCGAACTCCCAGTCCCCTCGGGATCACCGACAACAAATTCACCCGTTGCTTTCACCGACGAGCCGTCACTGACTACCGATGCTCCGTTTATCTCGACTGGCGGGTCTACATCGACAGCATCCACTACGGATGCTCCGGTAGTCTCGACCGACGATCCCTTGCTGACTACGGACGCCCCTGATATTCCAACCGAGGTGCCAGTCTCAACTACAGAAGCCCCTATTGTGACCTCTGAGACTCCAGCACCTAACGTTGCATGTACTCTTGTGGCTTCAGCAGAGGATGTTGGATTCGGAATTAGCGTCGGCACGGATCCCTCGTGTAGCGCTGGAGGCGTTGGATGTATTGACGAAATATGCCGTTTTTGCAAGGTCACCACCTCGATGCAGTCTGCAGCTTACGCTGATTGCGCTCTGTTCAATAATGGCTCTAGGCCGTCTGAAACTCCATTGTCAGATGCTACCGACGCACCGATAGAGGCCCCAACTGAGACGCCGAGCGCCGAAGTCCCTAACGCAGCGGTGGGCGATACCGATGCACCGTCCGAGGTGCCTATTGAAACGCCTAGTGCTACGACCGAAGTCCCAATCGCGACGTCGGATGCTTCCAACTCACCGTCTGAAATTCCTTTGGAGACGCCTACTGCTACAACCAAGACACCAGTTACCGACCAACCTTCTGAAATTCCTTCTGAGACCCCTAGCGGTACGACCGAAGCCCCTAATGCAGCGGTGGACGATACCAATGCATCGCATGAGGTGCCTATTGAAACGCCTAGTGCTACGACCGTAGTCCCAATCGCGACGTCGGATGCTTCCAACTCACCGTCTGAAATTCCTTCGGAGACGCCTGCTGCTACAACCGAGACACCAACTACCGACTCGCCTTCTGAAATCCCTTCTGGGACCCCTAGTGGTACGGCCGAAACTCCTACTGCAGCAACTGAGACACCAGTGGCTACAACCAACACACCCAGTGCAACACCAGTCGCGGATACGCCCGACGTGACGACTGAAACACCTGTGGCTGAGCCACCTGCAGTCACCGAGACCCCGACTATCTCGACGGGTTCTCCAATCGTATCTCAAGACACGTGTGGTATCACAGCAGCAGAGGGAGACATCGTTGTTGGCATTCACATCGCAACAGATACCACGTGCAGCGCTGGAGGCATCGGATGTATTAACGATTTGTGCCGATTCTGCAAAGTGCAGAATACGACTCAGTCCGCAGAATTTGTTGACTGCTCGTCCCTTGTGGGTTTTTCATCGGACTCGGCAGCGCCTGTGGACGTCGTAACCACTTTACCTGGTTCTACCACCCCACCTGGTTCCACCACTACATCACCGGGTTCCACCACTTCCACCTCATCGGCTACATGCGACCTTGCTGCCTCGAATGGTGACGCTGCTGTCGGTATTCGCATTATCACCGACCCGTCCTGCAGCGTTGGTGGTGCCGGATGCATCAGTGATGTGTGTCGTTTCTGCAAAGTCATAACCTCGCTTCAATCGGAAGCGTTCATTGACTGCGCCGCCGTCGGCGGCTACACACCTGAGACGGAGGCTCCAGTCACCACCACCACTGCTGTACCATCTTCTTTAGCTACCTGTACTCAAGTTGCTTCCGACGGTGACCTTGCTGTTGGTGTCGACATTACCACTGATGCCACGTGCAGCATTGGAGGTTCTGGATGCATCGATGACGTATGCCGCTTTTGCCAGACTACTGTCACGCCTCAGTCTGCTGAGTTCGTCACTTGCGCATCCATCGCCGCCTACAGTCCTCGAACAGAGGCTCCAGTTGATGTTACCACTTCAACCCCGTCACATTCGAACACGAATGCTCCAGTCACTCAGTCTGACTGCAGCCTGGTGGTGTCGGCTGGTGACTCGGCTGTCGGCATCAGCATCACGGGTGACGCTACCTGTGCAGTCGGTGGTATTGGCTGTATTGACAACGTCTGCCGTTTCTGTAAGGTTGAGACCACCGTGCAGTCTGCTGCTTTCATTGACTGCACGTCCATTGCTGCATTCGCGCTTGTCCCCGACGTGTCGGTCGACACAGCGACACCTCCAACCGGCCCGACCTCCCCGACCACCGATAACCCTACTACGTCGACTCCAGCAGCCACCTGCAGCCTTGTCGTTTCGGAGAGAGATGCTGCGGTTGGTATCGATATTATCGCTGACTGGGCGTGCCAGTTCGGTGGCATTGGCTGCATTGACGGAGGCTGCCGTTTCTGCAAAAAGGAGACGACGGAGAAATCGGTTGCCTTCATCGATTGCCCTGCAACCACAGTCGCGGGCACTCCTACTCCTGTGGATCTTACTCCCGAACCTATCAGCACTAACGTTAGTGGTTCAGACGCACCTGCCGACACCAATGAACCTGTAGATGTTACCAAGGCCCCGGCTACTGCTACCCCGACCGAGACTCCAGGAGATGATTTCGTGACAAAGTCTCCTGACATCACATCGGACACTTCTGGGGATTCGTCATCTAATACTGGAACCGACAATAACGTCTCGGATGCTCCGACTGGAACGCCCTCTGTGACCACGGGAGGTAGTTTGGCTTCAGACGGGAACGATACGACTGCTCCCACCCGAACCGAAGCTCCTACGACCGATGTAGATACTTCAGACTTGTTGACGGAGGCCCCCCAGACTACCACAGAACCTCCTGTTTCAACAAACGATATCGACGACAGCGGTGACTGGGAAGGACCTGACGAGGGATCAGATTCGGATTCTACCTACTTTGATTTGGAGGGGTCCTTGGACGATATTTAACCCTTGGTTCGCGGAAGGTCGGGTAGGCAGCGATATTCTGTATGCATGCGCATTAACCTTTACATTGGGAATTCACCAAATAGCGTAGCTAAGGTAAACAACCTAGGTGTCTGTCAACAGACGACTTTCAAATAAATAAACTATCTTTTTAAGAGCTCATGCGCAGGCATTAAAAATCGAAGCTTTAGCAACTTCAGATCTCTTGAAAGTATGATCTCGAATCGGTTGCCTTTTATCGAGGGCGATTTGCACTAGTTTTGACTCACTTTTGGTTCCTGATATCACAAATTTTACGCGTACAGTATCAAAATTTGGTACTGTACACGTAAAAGTTAAAAAATACACCAAATTAATACATGTATTGTGCGACGTACAAACTAATTTCAGATTACAGTAGGCCTCGACTTTAAAATTGTACTTAAGCGAATTGATCTAACGTTATCTTGAAATTGGAATTGAATTCCTACTCCAAATCCGAGACGAGGTCAAAATAAGACCCATTAAGAAATCAATAATAATACCCTCGAATCCTATGAGCTACTTTTGTTTTCAGCTAATGCGCGTGTTCTTGGGTTGTTCTACCGCGCATTTGGTTATGCTGTTAGAGTCTTGATTCACCCCGACAGCGCCCAAATATCGTAGGTTTCATCCTGAAACCGGAACTCTGCTCTGAAGCTTCTGTCGCACAGCGTTGGCCAATTCACACGAGACATAGCAAAACGGACATGGAGATTGCTGCTTTTATAGTGGCAACGCGAAGGATCTCATGAACTCCTCCCATGCGTTCGCCGTCAATGAAGCCGGTGCTGCAGGCGGTTGGTTATTTCCGACGGCACTAAAAATGTGCCAGTCGCCAACGCTAATAGAACCTGTAACGGAAGTCAGCCATGAGTGTCACCACCGCACGTTTAGCACGAGAGGAGCTCACATCTTAACCTGCTTCCTCGAGTGCAATTCAACTCGACCAACTTTTCTAAACCGGACTATTCAACACTATGGTGTATTCCAACAGCCGCGTTGGAACGCGTGCTCTAATTAAGACGGCGGTGGTGTGCGCGCTCAGCTTGAGCGCCGTTCCTGCTGTCAGTGCCGATGGCTCAACCTCGTCGTCTGCCGAAGTCTGCGGAGTATCGGATGGTGACAAGAGTGCCGGCATCCGCGTCGTCGAGGACTCTGCGTGTGCTTCGGGTGGAATTGGCTGCTACAACGATCACTGTCGCTTCTGTAAGCTCCTGGAGACGCCGCAATCAGGTGCCTTTGAAAACTGCACAAGATTCGGCGTGGAGTTCCCGACCATGGCCCCTCTGGTTCCCTCCACTGGAGTGTGTGAAGTGTCTAGCGGCGATGTAGCCGTCGGTATCTCGGCGTTCACGGATGACACATGCCTGTACGGCGGTCTGGGCTGCTTCAACGATCACTGCCGCTTCTGCAAGGAGACGAAAACTGCGCAGTCGGAGGCTTTCGTAGATTGCCCAAACAGCAGCTCTACTGGTTCAGCAACCGATGCGCCGGCTAACACTCCAGCCAGCTCTCACAGCAGTACTGCTGGCTCAGCTACCGATGCACCGACAGACACCCCGGCCAGTTCTCACAGCAGTAGCAGCAGTAGCGTCGACAAGGATGTATGCACTCTAGTTCCCCCGGCTGGTGACGTTGAAGTCGGCATCAGCATCGGCACGGATGTTACGTGCAAGGCTGGTGGCCTGGGCTGCATCAACGACGTGTGCCGTTTCTGCCGCATCCGGACGACGACCAAGTCACTTACTTACCAGGACTGCTCTTTCCTCGGAACGAGCGACGCCAACGCCGGAACTCCGACGCCGGCTGAGACTCCGTCGGCGACCACCGAAGCCCCTCTCGCTGTGATCGACAGCCCGACAGCAACCACGGCTACCCCCGACGCCTCAACAGAGGCTCCTTCGGATTCCACCGATGCCCCGACCACGACTACAGAGGCTCCCGCTCCTGCTTCCACAACGGTGGCCCCTCTTCCCGACACGTGTACCATCATTCCTTCTGTCGGCGATGCTGCAGTCGGCATCAGTATCGTCTACGATCGGGAGTGCACCTCCGGCGGTGTCGGCTGCGTGACCGATGTTTGCCGTTTCTGCAAGGTGACGACTTCCTCTCAGTCCGCCGCTTTCTTGGACTGCGCCCAATTCGCAAGTGACGCGTCGACTTCTAATGATGTGCCGGTCGTGGACAATGGCTCGGACTCTAAGGACGCGTCCGGTGCAGTGGCAGATACCCCTGCCGGAACTGAGGCACCGGCAGCAACCACGGCGACGCCTGACACGACTACCGAAGCCCCGACTCCGGATGCCACAACTGCAGCGCCGACAGGAAAAACATGCAGTCAAACCGCATCGGAGGGTGATGCTGCAGTCGGCATTAATATCGTCACGGATACGACCTGCGGTTCTGGTGGCGTTGGTTGCATTGACGATATTTGTCGATTCTGTAAGACCTCCGAGACTCCCCAGTCTGCCGCCTTCGTGGATTGCTCCTCAACCTCTTCATCTCCTGCTGCCTTTACTGCTTCTGATGCAGACACCGAGGCCCCAACCGACGCTCCTACCGAAGCCCCCACTGAAGCCCCCACTGAAGCCCCCACTGAAGCCCCTACTGAAGCCCCCACTGAAGCCCCTACGGATGCTCCCACCGATGCACCCACCGATGCACCAACGGATGCTCCCACCGATGCACCCACCGATGCACCAACGGATGCCCCGAGTGGGGAAACATGCGCGCAGACCCTCTCTGAGGGTGATGCCGCAGTTGGAATTAGCATCCTCACAGATACCTCGTGCAGCACCGGTGGCGCGGGCTGTATTGACAGCATTTGCCGCTTCTGCAAGACCAGTGAAACCCCTCAGTCTGCTGCCTTCGTGGACTGCCCCTCGGGCTCTAGCACTGACACGACCGTTCCCGCTGACACTGAGGCCCCAACTGAGGTACCTACCGAAGCTCCAACAGAAGCACCTACTGAAGCCCCGACGGACGCGACCACCGATGCCCCCACTGAGGCGCCGAGTAGCGAAACCTGCACACAAACCGTGACTGACGGTGACGCCGCTGTCGGCATCAACATCGTTACGGACACTTCGTGCAGTTCTGGTGGCGTCGGCTGCATCGACAGCGTGTGCCGTTTCTGTAAGGTAAGCGAATCGGAACAGTCCGCTTCTTTCGTCGAGTGTAGTTCGATCGCGGGTACGACGAATGTGGAGGCATTGACGGACAACGCAGAGGCTGAGACATCGACGCAGTCGATTGCAAGTGAGGCAAAAGCCGAGATTTTGAGCAAGGAACAGATCGGCGCAGCCGTCGCAGGCTGTGTCGGAGCTATTGCTGCCGTGGCTATCGTTACCCGCGCGGCCAAGCGTTTGTCAACTGACGCCTCTAACCCGAACGAGCCGGCGGACAATGACGACGACGATGTCGATGAAACGGAGTCCGGCAAGCGTGTATCCCCCGGCCCCGTGCCTTCGGAGGACCCTGCTACTGCCGAGGCGTAAATTTACACTCTATTTTGCATGACCAGGCATCAAAGCGAAACAGATCTTAGTGGTGATAAAAAACTTTTTTCACTCTCTAACTTTCCGCTTTGGCGTAGATTTCATCAATCCTTTTTTGCCCAATCACACGCGTTATTTACACTGCTTCGTTATTTAACGTTAAAACGCGTCTCGTGTCCCGCCATTTTCCAATCGGCAGATCGCCATTGCTCGAGTGGTTGACCGCATCCTGAGGCTCTCTCCACCGCCTCCCCAGACCCTGTAGCGTCGCTCCAAGGGAAGCAGCAGGTCAATAGTGTCCCAATCGCCGCAGTAGCACGCTGAGAGCGATCGATAAGTTCTTGCAGCCGGCGAGAAAGCGTCACAACCAAAGGAAAGATTTCTGTAGTCGCGTCGGAGCTGAGGAATCCGAGGCGATGAACATGATGCGAGCCGCGTCGTCGCCCATGGAGCCTCTCAACAAGAATATTCTACTGGTAATGGGGGAGACGGATGCAGATGAAGCGATAACATATATTATTTTATATTAGTGGACTAATAGTTTCCTCTCTAGGCAGGTGAAGTGATCGCAGAGAAATGGAAAATTGGTGAAAAGATCGGAGAGGTAACAGGAGGCGATTTATTTTATTTTATCTATTATCCTCATTTTCTTTATTCTTATTTTATGACAGGGAACATTTAGTCAGATCTACTCGGCGTATTCAATCGAGAGTCGGGATAAAGTCGCTGTAAAAGTGGAAGCCCCCAGCTCCCTCAAGCCTGTGCTGGAGTGGGAGAGCTTGATCCTCAAGAGTCTACAGGACTGCCCCTATGTATGTCGATACTATTATCACGGCAAACATGGAGACAGCACAGTGCTGGTGATGGAGCTACTGGGAGATAGTATGTCGATGCTGAGGATGTCGCCCGACTCGATTCACGGCGTGCCATTGGCCAAGGCAATTTCAGTCGGCCTGGAGATGCTGGACTGCATCGAGGCCTTCCATCGCCACGGATACGTCCATCGAGACGTCAAGGCGTCCAACTTTGCATTAAGTGCTCTTCCGGAGCGCAATATGATGAAGCGACAACGCTACTATATCATCGACTTTGGGTTGTCACGACAGCATCTAGGAGAAGACAAACAGGTGCTGCCTGCACGTCAAGTCGCAGAGTTTCGAGGCACGTCCATGTACGCGTCTCTGAGCTCACATCGTCGACAGGAATTGGGTCCTAAGGACGATTTGTGGTCGTGGTTTTATCTCGTGATGGACTTTTTGCGCGGAGAACTGCCCTGGGCTGCCGACGCGCAACTTAAGAACCGACAGACGGTGCTTCGTCTTAAGGAACACTACACGGAGGCGAACCCAGGTCTGCTGGTTGAGGGTCTTCCAGGAGCCGCACAGCTGATGGAGTTGATGGATTATTTACAGTCTTTAAATTACGAAGACATGCCGGATTACAAGCGAATCCGTAAGCAACTGCAAGCTGTTGGGGAGAGTTCTCTGGCTTCTGAAAGCGACAGCGCAGACGAGGAATCTAGTGCTGACAAGAAGGAGGCGCAGACACGGTCTGACGTCTCGGCTTTTGACTGGAATACGTTCGAATCGGAGCGAGAGCGAGCGTTGAAGTGGACGGAGAAGGCTGAAGAACACAAAGACAGCGACGGAGCGTCCGACTTGTTGCTGACGATTGCTAAGCGGTACAAGACGTTCTTCGACAGCGACGGACTGTCGTTTGAAGAGCAGATACAGGTGCAGAGTGCAGTCTATCGGATCGAGAAGAAGAAGCGTGCGCGCGCTAGCTTCCTAGCTCCTCCGCCCATTCAGAGCTTCGTGAAACGTCGACAGTCGGAACAGAAAATGCGATCTGACGCGTTACGAAAGCGTCGCGAACGTGACTTTCAAGTGCGACAGTCGTTGGAGGTGAAGAACGAACAGGGTGCGCTGGCTGCCAACGAGAATACTCAGGTGGAGCACGGAGCTAAGGATGTCTCGCTTCGGCCAGTGAAATCGGAGAGCTCCATGGAATTATCTGATACTGAGGATGTTGGGACGAGACGGACAGGGGAAGGAAACAATATCTCTGCTTCACAAGCTCAGACGGGGAACGGACAACCGACACAGTTGGGCTCAGGACCATATCATCAGCGACACGTGATGCCTCCGCCTCCAGGGCCTCAGTGGAACCGCAATTCGAACTCTGGTGGGCCGATCCCTCCGCCCCCTTCTTTCCCTCCAGGAATGCAGCGCTCTGGGTACGGAATGCCTCCTTCACCACCTCCACATGCAGGACGCTTCCCAACGAACGGGGAGATCCCTCCGCCGCCTCCAGTTTTCCCACCGAATGGAAGCCAGCGCACATTTACTCCGCGTAATGGGAATCCTGAGAAAATTCCTTCGGTTCGGCAGCTGGATACCCAAGACGGCAACACGACTGGCTACCAGCGGCGCGATAGTCAAGATTCTGCCTCGAGTCGGCTCTATCCGGCCGAAACGAGACCCAAAAGACCTTTACTTTCTCCCCGAGATGGTCGACAATATGACTTGCCGAGGGAGACTCGAGAAGATCGTGGCTATGGCGTTCATCAGCGGCCTCAAAAGTCCCCGCGGGAGACTCCTTTTGGACCTGATCGACACAATGATGACCGAACGGAGAGAGAAGAGCGCGGCTATGGCTATCAACGGACACATAAATCCCCACGAGAAAGCAACAGTCTTAAGGCTGGCCGGCGCTATGATTCCCCGAAAGAAGATCGTGGATATGGGTACCAGCAACCTAAAGGTACCCCTCGAGAAAGTCACGACCAGTACGTGAAGGAAGGACGGCAAAGCCACTCAGATAAAGAGAAGCGACCGCGCTCACGTTCACGATCCTCACGACGTGAAAGTCACCGTTCTCGACGTCGCTCTCACTCATCGTCACGCTCTCGCTCATGGTCATACTCACGGTCTCCGTCGCGCTCCCCATCTCCTCATCCACACCGCCGCAGCAGTCGCGACTATGATCGCCATCGTGGAAGCCGGAAAGTGAAATCCAAGAGAGAACACTCCCGCCGTCATCGCTCGCGTTCGTGCAGCAGCTCAAGATCCCGATCAAGGTCTAGTTCTCGCTCGGTATCTGCCTCACCACCTCCGAAACGCTCCCGTCGTCGTTCGTCTGACCTGAGCCACTCCAGATCTTCCCACCGACACTCGTCTCGTCGCCACTCGAAGGAATATGCCAAGAAGGATTTTCCCGAGGACGCTTACCCGAAGGAATACATGTACGCTAAGAAATACCCGCAAGACTACCGCTGCCGTTCTCCCTCGCCTGAGCGCCGACACTCGCATCCCCGAGAGCCACAATTTCGCCATTCGCCATCTCCGGAGGCTCCACGACACCGGTCTCAGTCGCGTGACTACGCCCGAGAGGATGGATCTTGGGGTGAGAAGCAACGGCGATCCTCTCGATGGCAATCACGATCGTAACTGAGTGCCATGAAGTGAATGGTACCTTATGAAGGGCAGCCTGAAGACCAAAACGAGTTGGCAGCAGCTGCTTGATAACTTGTAGACGCAGTTTTCGTGCTGGAAAGAAGGTAGGGGATAATCGGGGCTAAGGATATATTTTTTTCTTGTCTAGCGTTCGATGACTTTCTATTTTGCCTCTATACACACTCAAGATGGTGCTACTCCACTTCAAAGTGGTGAAGTAACTAAACCTTTTTAAAAATTATTTTCAACTTTTACATTAGAATTTATGTCACTTCACAAATTTGTTGAGTAAACACACTCCGTACTTCAAAGTGGTTTATTCGCAGTTCAAAGCGGATCAACCCACGTGCCCGCGAGCACTTTATTGCCATTCCTCGCTCTCACTTATCAATCTTCTCCCAAGCCATAAGCCTCTACCTACTCCAAGATGCCCGGAGCCCCACACCCTGCATGAAGTGCGAAAAATAGAACGTGCTGTGACAGTTACGTTGGTTGATCTGTACATGTAGCAGTCATAGTGCGGGTATTCGCGGGCCACGGTGGCTTACACTTGTGGTTATCATAAGGGGGTCTTTTATCATGCTGACCGAATGAGCTGTCTTAATTAACACCAAATGAGTCACTCGGCCTTGCATACTCATGTCAAGTGTCACAAGTCGTGATTAATTCATTTGCTGCTTGCTCTGATTCAGACACTGATCAGCAGAAGAACGTCTCAGCTTATTTGAAGGACTTTTTTTCGCTACGTTTTGCAGCTCGAAAACGGAACTCACCGTCTGGAAATACCGCCAGGCTCCACGTCTCTCATACCGGAACGGAGATATCGAATCAGTTATTGACCTACACCCACGTTCATCATGGCGAAAAGGAGCAGTTGGGAATGCCATAGTCCGGAGATGATCGAAATCGCCTGAGATTGCGACTTGGTACCAGAAAGACCTTTAAGTATTCACTGTATCCAATACGTCATGCACGCTGCTGTTAAATTAGTCGATTACTTCCGTAACGCGACGCATATTTGTCTAATAGCTTACTCAAGTTTGGACTACCGCGATCTGTGAATAAGTTTGGTCTGTGATTATCGTATCAGAGTCGACTGAGTACTATATTTTTGAGGTAAAGTTGCCCCAGTTGACCTGCCCCCGACCCCTTGATCGTGTTACTATCATTATTAGTTGCTGCGATTGGTGAAGCTGATGGTAGAAGTTTGCGACGAATATCTACTGTACAAGGGACTTAACGGTGAGGGACAATTACTTTGACGAGAGCTACAACGCATCTGGGGAAGCTTTTTCAGGAGTATTTCGAATACGCCGTTCGTGTTTCAAGCGCTTAGCTCTCGTACCTCCTCTGCAGTCCAGCTTAAGCCTCTCTTAGCAATGCTTCAGCCTCCTTCATCGTCGCCTCATTCTGAGTAGGACTAACGCTAAGATAGGACTCCACGTCCGATATCGCAGCATGCGACTCTGTAGAAATTACTGTTTTCGTAAGTAAGACTGTATCTCCTAGGAGAGCTCGTAGCTCATCAGCATTCCCTCCATGCTCGCTGTATACGCACTGTCCTCTAATAAATCACTGGTAGTGCTGGGCGCTAGAATTCTGCAAAAACGATAATGCAGCTCTAATCAAATTTGACAGGGCTAAATTCACCCCCCCGAGTTCCAATCTCGAGCAACTGGGACAAAAATAAGCGATTCGGATTGGCTAAGAGAGTTGCCCCAGTTGATCTGCCCCCGAATGAAACACCCCCTAAGGCCCTTAGTAAGGGTGATCTGTGAATAAGTTTATTGTACATTCCAATGCTTTTGTCCTTTTCTGTGACGGGGCCACACAGCACCTTGCGCTAGAGGAAGTTATCTTCCGAGAGTATACAAACTCTCAGTGAACGGTAGTTCACAGGTCCCCTCTTTAGCTAAAGAGAGCGAAGTGACCCAAATAAGGTAGATTGTAAACTGAGTATATTTATACGTAGGTTAAGTTTGGGTTTGATACAAACTATATAGAAATGCAATGTCGTTTGACCAATAGTTGGCTTTGAACAACCTTGGTACCTTGTACCAAATATCCCGGAGTATGACGTGTCATCAGGGGTTGGCAGTACCGGCGTTTCTTCTGAACTACTGGCAGTAGTTCGCCAGTAAAAAATTATAAACTACTGGCAGTAACAGTAACTCTGATTTGGTATTCCTTGTTACTGTAGTAATAGTACTATAGTACTGTTAAACTACTGGCTTACGACCACCTAATCGTCTTGTGTGTGGTCCACTGAACTGGACGTTGCGAACACCTAGGCTGACTGTGTGTAATCAGCCACAGCGACGCTCTCCATCTCCATACGACGGTTCTCAGTACGGTTATGCTTCAAGAGAACCTGCATTTCGGCTCGCATATTGTCCGTGCTGGTGCGAAGCGAGTTCATGACGAAAGCACCGGTGCAAAAGACGCGCTCTTGGAAAGCATTGGAGGGGCTTCGGCCAAGCCAAACACGGACAAGAAGCTATAGCACAACAGTTAGTGTTTAGCAATGTATTTAATATCTTTAAACCGTAACTCACCGAACAGCAATGTTACCCGGGTCGCACAGGTCGTTCGAGCACAGGTGGTGGACGGGTTGATCGCAGATGGAACATGGATCCGTCTTTGTTAGCTCCGGGTTGATACAGTCAACAAAGGAGCACTTCATCGACGTGGTGGGTGTTGGCTTAAGCGTGACGAGAGCTGGGAAAGCGTTCTTGGGGGTGCAACGAGAATTGCAAAGTGAACTTCAAACCATCAAAGGAAAACGGCAAGAAGATTGACTGGTCGAAGTGGGGCCGTTGACTGAGCTCAGATCCTGCAGCCGCCGAAATCGTGCGACGGAGACGACGAGAGTGTGGAAGACTGTATACTGTGCTGTTAGCAAGCGTCCTCGTGTCCAACATAGAGTCCGGGGCGGTGGTCAAAATGGAGGATTGTCAGATGCACTTCTGGGTATCGACAGTAACTCAGCAGTAACTCGGCAGTACTTTTGTAGCCGCATCTGAGTTACTGGTTACTACAGTAACAGTATGATCATATTCGAGGAAACTACTGGCTACTGCAGTAACAGTAATAGTACTATAGTACTATTTTGTACTGCTCTCCCAAATTACTGCCAACCCCTGCGTGTCATACTCCTGAAGTGTGAAGTGTCACACTTCATGTAGCCAGGGTACACTTAGGGCTACGTACCCCGTTACATCCTCCCCCACTTAGGTTCGGTTTACCGACCAATCAGAATGAAGAGGTGTTCGTCACAAACTCTCATTCTCAAAGTCGAAAACCATCGACTTGGCCGCGCGAGCGCGGCGGAGGCTCACTTCACAGTTAGAGCCTCGAGCAGCAACCTGTGCACTCTTCGTCTAGGTCTCCACTTCGACCGTTATCATGCCTCGTGGCACTGCAAAGAGCGGTGCTAAGACACGCTCCAAGGCTGCTGCCGGTAAGGCGCAAGCCAAGAGCACTAAGCCTCACGGCAAAGGCTCTGCACTCAAAAGGCTACTCAGGTAGCCTCCGAGGCGATCGGTTCCTCGGGTGACGCGGCTGTGGACAAGCGCGCAAACAAGCGCCGCAGCCCGTCACCCTCATCTTCAGACAATCGTCCGAACCCTCGGTTCGTGGAACGTGAGTTCAACTCGGGCAGTGAGGACGATGCCGAGTCCGCGAGCACTCACGATGCTCCTGCGGACTCTGTGGGAGGGCACAGCCCAGTGTCCAGTGAGCACAAAGATGACAGCGTGCAGTCGCTCGCTAGTGATCAAGGTGATCACAGTCCCAGGACCTCTGTGCGCTCTGAGAGTCCGGCCGTCAAGGCTAAGGGCGCTCCCAAAGCTGGTGGCGATGAGGAAGAGAGTCCTCGCAAACGTCTCTCGCTTGCCGAGGGTCTTGCGCGTGCTAAGGCCTCTAAAGCCGAAGGCGCCAAGCCCTCAAAGAAATGTACAGCCTCTAAGTCTCCACTCCGCGAGGAGAAGGAGACTCGTCGCTCCTATCGGAGTATCTTCGACTCCTCGGATGAAGAGGAGGAGAAGGAGGAAGAAGAGGAAGAGGAGGGTGCTATCGTTGAGCCCCGGGAGGTCTCGAATGACCTCGACCAGCAGCAGGAGGAGTTCCAAGCTGCCCAGCGTGTGCGTGGGGGTTCGGTGATGGCACCCGTCAGCCAGGGAGCTGCCATCAACTCAAGAGGGTATTGGCCTCCCGAGGAGAGCTCTGGGGCTGACCTCTTCTTAGAGCTTCTCATCGCTCCTCGTGGCCTTGTGGGCGGCCACACTTCTAGGGGCATCTATGAACGAGCCCTTGTTCAGAAAGAACAGTTGTTCGTTGACAACTTGGCTGCTCGGTGTGTGCCTCTCGCGCCACACCGCATTCCCCTTAAGGACTTCACGACTTGTCGTAAGAAGCCCGAGACCCGGGGTGGCCTCTGTCCGCTTTGGGGATACCCCTGGGTTATGCCCGAGAACTGTCCCACGTGGAGTTCTTGTGAGGACATGTTCTGGGCGTGGGTGGAGACTCATAAGTACTCACCCACGGAGTTACGGGAACTCCATAAAGATCAGCTGCTGTCCCGCATCCTGGACCAGCGTGATCTTCGTGTGAGGTTTGCCCACTTGATCAGCAAGCATATGCTGCCAAGGGACATCCTGAAGCGCGCGGCTTCTAGCGCTCACGATGAGCGCGGGTACGGTATGTATTCATCGTCCGTACCCCGTTCGTTCAAGAAGCCCCGGACTACTTATGAAGCTGCCGCCGCTTCTGTTCCCAGATCGCGACAGCCTTCGGGCAGTCAATCAGGAGCCGTTCAATCGGCTCCCACGAGTTCTCGGAGTGGGCATAACCCCTCCACTTCACGAGGAGCTGTCGCTTACCGCGACACCGTTGCTCCTGGAGGATCCGCTCCACGTGGAAGTGGACTTCTCCATTCCGGTCAAGCAGGGGCGGAGGTGCCCTCGTACGAGTACGAGTACTCGGCGCCTCCCGAG